TGATGAAGGAGTATAACTATGACCCCACAGACAGTGGGCGATGAGCACTGAGCCTTGGTTTGGTTTGTTCTGCCTCACTAGTCTTAGCTAATGAGCTAGGTATATTGTATTGGTTCAATTTACATAGCACTGTTGAGCTCTGCTTGTGGCAATACTGTCACCATTCAGGGAAACTCACCCAAGGGCTGCTCGTGACCTTGAGGTTTCTTCAGGATCGAACTACAGCTGCTGGTTTATGCGTGGTATCTGCCTGCCAAAAGGACTGGACTGCAGCTGCTGATTCATATTTGGTGTTTGCTATGGGACTGAACTCCTGACAAAGAAGATTGAGTTTGCCACCAAAGAACTATTGCTAAACAGGTCCACTCCCTTATATCCTAACAATTTTTCTCTTCCACTACCTCTGCTGGGTAGTGGGGTAAAGGAGAGGTCAAACTCTTATTAAAAGTAGGTTGCAAAAAAATGTATGCCCATACATGACTTAATGTTTTGATGTGTGTATCAAAATAAACAGTACGTCATCACCTCACAGATACTTTTGTTTATATTTTGGTTATGAGCCTAGCCTTTAAGGGCTGAGCCAACTGTCCAACCTGATACCACATTCTTGATCAAAACACTTAACACGGACTCTCAGCAAGTTTTAAGTACACAGCATTGGCAACCATACTGAGATGCTGTAGAGTTGACTTCTAGAACTTTCTCACTGTAAATGAGAGACCCTCATGCTCATTGGCCTCATGTCTCCTTCTCCCTCATCCTCTGAATCAGTTCTCAGTCATGCTTAGTTTCCAGGCTCCAGCAGAGCGATCCTGATCCACATAAAATCTTCCTGATGGATTCATACGTTCTGGTTTCTGGCTATTTAACAGTTTGGAATTAGCAATTGTTTTGATTCACCTCCAGTGTAAATAATTTAAAGAATTATTGAATTGATCTCAAGTGATTGTTATAGTCACAAACAGGAACTGACAGTGACCTGTGAGATGGGCTTGAAATGAGCCACTGCGTTTTCCTGCCCTGCTCTGAGGAGGCAGTCTCTGGAGCATTGTTTAACTGGAACATTTTAATAAGAAAATATTGATTAACCATGACAGTGAAACAGCTTGTGAAATACGTAGGCTTCAGACGAGTCAAGGAAGTTGAACACCATAGTTCCTTTAAATGTCCGTCCAAAATTTCAAGTTTTCTAAAAGCACATTATAATTAATTTTATTAGTATTGAGTGATAACACAGAAGGCTTAGATCTGTGCACAGGCAACCAATAGGACCTTGACTGTCACAGCTGCGGTGGTAGATGCCCGGTTAAACAGGCCATTTAATGGAAAGACGTCAAGTAAAGAGATGTAAAGAGTGTCACGGTCACCAGGGCCCGAACCTACCTCAGGTCTCAGGGGATTTACAACAGCGTGCTTTTGTTTTCACTGATTTCTATATTGTATCAGTTTTCTATTGATGCTATAACACATTTCCACAAATGGAAAGGGCTTAAAATCCTCAGGTTTATTCTCTTATCTCTGAAGTCAGAAACCAAAACCAGCCTCTCTAGGCTGAGGGTGGGGTGTGCGCGGGGTGAACTTGAAGGCAACCCCTGCCCTGTCTTTTCAGCTTCTAGTGAGTGTCTGCACTCCCTGTGTCTCGGCTCCTTGCTCTGTTTTAAGTGCGTTGCTCCAGCTCCTGCTCTCTGACTCTGACTCTGTTCCCCCTCCCCTTCTGAGGCCTCTTGTGATTACAAAGCCTCCATCTAGATAATACAAGTTCATCGCTCCATCTAAAGATTCTTAACCATATGTTCAGTGCCCCTTTATCACATAATATGACAGTCAGAGGGTTCCACAGTTAGGACATGGATATATTTGGGGGGGGCATCATGTAGCCTGTGACATATAAAATTATTTAAATAAAATTTCACTGTTAACTATATGCAGACTATACAACAATGGGATTAATATGCTTATATTGTCATCATGGCACCTGTGATATACAACAAACCCCAGAGAAAGCTTCATCACACTAGAACATAGATTTTTTTATATCCCAGTCCTATTTGCCTATATTCTAACACATTCTCTTGAAAAATAAGGAGACAGGAAGGACGGAAATAATAATAGTAAGGACATAAGTTTCAGTATGGGGGTGGGGGGTGGAATTCAACATAACTGTTATCCTTTGCAACTTCTGAATATCACACACACACACACACACACACACACACACACACACACACACGGCAAAGTCTCCATTACCTTGTTTCCAAATGTTATATGTAATATTGTAACATCTTATTCTTCTGACTTTTTTTTCTTCTGACTTTTAAAAAAGAATTTACTTTTACTTTTAATTGTGCGTGTGTGTGCGTGTGTGTGTGTGTGTGTGTGTATGAAGTGCTCGTGGAGGCCAGAGGAGATGCTGGTTCCCCTGGAGCTGAAAGGCAGTTGTGAGCTGCCCTACTGGGCACTGTGAACTGAACTCATATTCTCTGCAGAGAAGCTACCTCTTCAGCCCCTGTACTGATTTTTTAAAATGCGTGAATACCTTTATCAGACCAATAAAGGCACTCACTGGGAACTGTTCTTAATCACACAAACACAGATAAGATGCCTCGGGAGCAAGCAATGGCTAAGCAGGTACCTAGTCACCTCTCCACACTGCCGAGTGCCACAGAGACAAACGCTTATCACAGAAGGGGTTCAGGGATGCCCAGGTTTTAATAAGCTTCTATGGCTGTAATAAAACACAAGAGGCAAACACCTTAAAGAGAAAACATGTATTTTGCCTCACAGTTCATGAAGTTTTAGCTCATGGTCAGTTGGCTCTGTTGCTTCTTGAGCTTAGGGTGGCATGGCTCCTCACAGTGAACTGCACGTGGCAGAGCAAAGCTGCTTACCTCAGTGAGCCAGGGAAAAGAGGCCAGGGCCCTTCAAGGCCATGTCCCAGTGATGCACTTCTACTCCCTAGGCTCTGTCTCCTATAGGTGGGAGCCCCCTCCAATAGCACCATCTATTGAAGACCAAGATCTTAGCACAAGGCACTGGAAGAATATTTGAGATCTGACTCAGAACAGCTTTGAAGGATCAGGTTCTGTTTGCAAAGTGGTTAAGCCCAAGGTGAGGTTCAGTATGTCTGGGGAAGGGTCAATATGTCTGGGAAAGGGTCAGTATGTCTGGGGAAGGGTCAGTATGTCTGGGGAAGGGTCAGTATGTCTGGGGAAGGGTCAGTATGTCTTAACAGTGATTGGGAAGGAAAGAGGACAGGGACTGGCTCCAAAGAGACCTGTGTGCCTGTGATGAGTCTAAGCTCCTTACAAGTTGCTCTGAGAAAGGACCACATAGGAGCATCTTCAGTTGTGAAGGTAACCAGAGCAACACTACAGCAGGCCCCGTGGAAGGAGGGGAAAATGAGAGGCAGGTAGATGATGCAGGGAACTGGTAAGATGGAGGATTCCCAGCCCAGCCACAGGAAATCCAGGAAAGGTCCAGAAATGCTGTTCTTTTGCTGTTGTTGAAACAAGGTCTTGCTGTATAATTTGGGCTAGTTGCAAACTCACAGGACGCCTTGTGCTCCAGCCTCCCGGATGCTGGGATTCCTGCAGGTACTAGTACACGTGGCAAGGGAGGCTGACTTCATGGATCACAAGCTATAATATGAAACAACACTTTCCTGCCCAACTTGCTTTTGGTTATGGTGTTTTGTCACAGCTATAGAAACCCTAACTAAGAAATGCAGCACACAGTAAGACAGTGTTACTGTCCACCTTGTGAGGTTAACCTCAATATAGCCATTAAAACTGCAGTGATCTTTACAAGTTCCTATAAAGTCTATTAATTACCTGGGAAGTTACAAAACAAAGACTCCACGAAAGCCCAAAAGGTATTTATCTTCAAGTGTATTTGCTAAAGCTATGTTTTGACTGATCCAAGGAGTTAAGTATTTAAAAAGTATTATTTCATATTAAAAAAACCCTCTCATTAATCTTCATACATGGTTTAACAATCTTACACTGGTAGTTAAAAGCTGGTTCCAAGTTTGACTTTCACAGAACACTCTGAAGGGTAATTCTGGCTGTGCACAAACATTCAAACTTTAAGCTACAAATTATTTACCACCTAATTTACCCCTAATTGTAAGGATGGATGACCGAATCACACGATGTTTGCGTCACCCCACAGAATAATGCAGCCACCAAAAAATGCTGACTCTGCTGTAATGACTGCAAAAGCAGAGGAGAGAACAACTCTGACACCCTTTCCACTAACCCTCCTGGTGACCACGCCCAGGATGGGCAGCATCTTTTTGAAATGCTTGTGCTTTGAAACTCTCACCTTGTTTTCTCTTACATCACCAGCTAAGAAGAAAACAAGCTGCCCTGTTGTAAGCAGCTTTAAGCATCAGAGCATGTGGCAAAAGATGTCTGGCCATCAGCTGGCAAGGGCTGCAATCGGCAGGTGACTATGGAGGAGGCCTGAGTGTGCTTGCTAGCCCCAGCAGAGCATTGCTTAAGCTGTACAGAGCATTGACTGACAGGCCCACTGTAACTTTCCTGGGGCCCTGTGCCTGAGCCACCCTTGTTAGCTGTGCTTGGATCCCTGCACCTCAGAAACTGTGACGGGAGATGATCACTGCTATCTTAAGCTGACAAATTTTATTTAGGGAATCTTCTTATGCACCAATTGATAGCACACACATACACGTATGGACAAAGATAGAATTAAAAATAGATTCACCTCTATCTCTGGGTTGTAGGGTCATGGGAACTATTACTTGCTTCAAACAATGTTGCCAAATGTTTTTTCTTATATTCAGGAGACAAAACAAACAAACAAACAAAAAACAAAAAAACAAAACCAACAAAAAACAAAACAAAACAAGACAACCCACAGAACCAAGATAGTTCATAGAATATTCAAAAAACCTAAAGATTAGGAGAGCCAATTTTAGTTCCCATAACCCTTAAAACAAAACACACTTCAGAGGTGTTTGCTCAGGGGCTCCTGCTTACCCAGCTTCTGGTCAAACCGCCATGCTGCGACATAGGCATTGTGCCTCAGGCTGCTCTGAGTGGCCAAGGGCACAGTGACATAGATGGGTCCATCCACCAGCACCGGCGTCCCATTACCGCTGAGCAAGTGCACGCTGACGGCTGTGACGGGGATCAAGTCATACCTAGTGCTGTTTCCTGGAAGGAAGACATATGCTCATCACCTGCACAGAGGACCTGGGGCTGTAGAAACCCTTGAAGGAAACCGGTCACTACTGCCTCGTATTGAGTAGAGTCTCCAGTGTGCGGGGTCTTTTCTAATATCAGTAATCCTCACCCCCACTATGTCACAAGGCACTTCAAACCCACGGTTTACAAAGATTCCCAGAAGACATATGCTAGTTACCAGAGCTGGGTCCCAGTTCAAGTCTGCCAGCGGTAGCAAACTGCACTTGTGCTACCCACTCCTTTCTGCCTTCCTTCCTTCCCTCCCTCCTTCCTTCCTTCCTTCCTTCCTTCCTTCCTTCCTTCCTTCCCTCCCTCCCTCCCTCCCTCCCTCCCTCGCTCCCTCCCTCCTCCCCTCCCTCCCTCCTTCTGTTTAAAGGCAGGAAGTGACGCTGTAGCCTGGAACTCACGGCCACCATGCCTCAGTCTCTCAACAGCTGAGATTACAGCCATGGTGGAAAAGACTTTTCTCTAGTGTAAGAGAACGAACTCTGGAGAAGCTACAGAAAATTAGCATCACAAAATAAGCTCTGTGCATACATATATATATATATATATATATATATATATATCGTAGGACATACCATCTACAGCATCTATAATACACATGCCAACAAGTCAGTGCCATAAAAACCTATTTTAGAGACTGTTTTTAAACAGCAAATTTCATCAAGGATTGCTGCAAAATAACTCATTCTACCAGAGGCATAGCTCTGAAGCTTAGACATGAAATATGTCTGTGTTGTTTTAGCTGCCATTGTTATTTTGGTCTGTATAAAAGGACTTTGATAGACCAATTAATCTCCATTAGAGACTGTTTATCCAAGCCAGTATTTTAATGACTGTATGCAGACAAATTAGAGAATGCATACTGATGTGATATTTATACACTTATGCAATCCATTTCAGAAATTTCTTTAGTGAAATATGATATCACCCAAAATATATTGTATAATTCACATCTTTGCCTTCACAGGCTGAATTTCTTAGTGTACAAGACAGGATCTCTTATATAATACTATTTATTATTTATTTACTGCTGCCATTTCTGTTTATACTAATTTTACTCTTAGGCAAAAGGACAGACTATAAGTATATTTACATAAAATATACATAGGTATGAACTTCCTATATACTAACATACCTGTCTGAGCTCATGCCAACCTCCAATTTGGACTAAAAATAAACAATCAAAGCAAACCTAGTGAACGTTACAGTTTCAACAACGATTTAACAGCTCAGTCCCTTGTGGAGTAATTCCAAAACAACAATGATGACTGTATATCCATCTCTTTCTCCACGACAGCAAAGGCCTGTTAGAAGATTTCCTCAAAAGATGCAAGTTGAAATCACAGATTCCAAGTCAGGAATCTTTCAGTTTAGAAACTATTTTATTTTTGGATAAGAAGACTAGAGGCCAGAATTTGCCACGCTTCCCTGGAAAATACACTGTGAGCCGAGACATACATATGCCCACAGCTTAAAGGTGCCAGGAGCGCAAAGCCAGGCCTCCCATATACGGCTCTTGGTCACACTCAAACCTGTCAATCAGATAGGATTTAAATGCCAGAGTCATCAGGCGATCTACTGGATGCGGTATAAGCGGTGCAGATGTTTCCAAGTTGGATGTGCTGCTTTATTTGGCTAAGCCCCATGCAGGAGGTCAGTAGAAACCTCCTGTAAATAGGCACATAGAAAGTTCTAGAAAAGCACCTCCATTCTTCTTTCTCAGTGTCTTCACACTCTCTTTCCTCTTCATCTTGCATTTCTCCGATCTAGGCGGATGGGTTCTAGAACCAGATGTCCCTGCTAAGTTACTCCCCTCCTGCCTTATCTTTGCGACTCAGATGGAGGGCAGGTCAGGTGACATCTTGACTGTATGGCTGTAAATATTCTCACCTGCACGAGTTCAGAAGTAAGCTCTACAGAAATGAGCAGATTAACTGAACGTCATGTGTGTCAGCTTCCGGTCCTTACACACGACTTTCAAAGAGCTCCATGAGGTGGGCATGGTGCTGCATGCACACTTGTACATAGTACCTGGTTGGGGGAGCCAGGGCTGCTGATACAAGGCCAGCTGGGTTACCATGAAGAGAGAAAAAGGAAAGAGGAAGAGGACAGGAAAGAAGGAAGGAGGAAAGGGAAGAAAAGGAGGAAGGAGGAAGGAAGGAAAGAAGAGAGGGAGGAAGGAGGACATGAGAGGGGGGAGCCCTGGCTCCTAAGACATGTAGGCCTCACCTCTGCATTCTGGAGGCTCTTCTCTCAGTGCTCCATTAAATGCCCACTCCTTCTCTCTGCCATCCCCACATCTCTCCGTCTACAGTCCCGCTTCCTTGACTTTGGGAGGATTCAAACCTAGAGGCCTTGATCATTTCTCTCCCACACTGTTATGCAATTCCTACCATGCGAGGTACTGAGTTCTGTCTGTAGCTGGGCTTTCCTTCCTGCTCTACCTCAACATTACCTGGGCCCCCTGTGTCCAAGCCCTGTGTCCACTTAGGCTTCTGATCAACTGGTTGTTTATAACAAGACAGGTTTCTACTCAGCCCCTAGGAGTCTCTCTGTCCTCATGTTTTAGTACCAGGCTGAAATATGAAGCTCTCCTAAGTTCAAAGCCTAGGTGCCACTATACTTCTCTGCAAATATTTAAAAAGATCAAAAAATAATCTTAAATTCAGAACACTTCTGTTTCAGGCATTCTGGATAAAGATGGTCATTGTCTGCCAACTTTTCTGGGGTTGTAAAAATTCTGTACCTTAGACATTCTGCCCTCTCTGTCCCCATGGAGTGGCTGGTGGGGGTCATTTCATCGAGACCTACGGGAATGGTGTGGGGTTTTGCGCTTTCTAGGGACCAGGAGAAGGTTGCGATGCTAGACGGCAGAGAATCTTTGGCCCGTATGTAAGACAGAAAGTGATAAAGGACAAAAAAGAGCCTCTTCACAAACTCCGCTGAGGCCAGCAGGGACCCACTGTGCCCCAGGCTGCTCTGCCCCACGGAGCCCAGGCTCCAAGGTCTCAGAATACATATGGATACAACACTGGCTGGCTTCCTTCCCTAGTAGGTCTGGGGGAAACTTTGATCCTCTCTCAGGCAACTAATAAATTACATCACTGGAAAAGCAGTCCAATGTCACCTTCCAACCTTTCTCTTCCCCCTGCAATAGACTGATTTTAAAATAAAACACGCTTCTGAAAAAAATCAATAGTCCTGTGCTTTTGCACTCTGCATCATCCCTGGTCTTCTTGGGTTTCATAATTTATTCAAGTGTTACTGGAAGAGGGACAGAGAACATGAATGACCTCTTTGCTGTATTTCTTACTGTGCTTCCTTTCATCAGGAGAGATGAATGGAGTCTATGAGGACCTCAGACTAGAACTCTCTGGGCTCCTCAATTGATAGTTTCCTTCCAAGAAACTTTCCTGTAGATGATCACTACACATCTGATAGCAAACGACTGGCATATGAATCACATCCAGCTAGAAACTTATTCACAAGTTACAGAAATGGATGAGATGTCAGGGGTGTACAAGCCTTTTGGATTCACCAGTTTATCCAAAGTCTTGGAAAATTATGACAGTTTTAATCGAAGCATTCCTGGGAAATACAATAATATACCTAATTTAACTCTAGTGGCTGCTTTTCAATTTTATGCTATGCCTAAAACCCGAAAGGCAATGAAGAAGAAGAGAGAGAGACAGAGAGACAGAGAGATACAGAGGGAGACAGAGATAGACAGACATACAGAAAGAGACAGAGAGAAAGAGAGACAGAGAGACAGAGAGAGACATTCAGAAAGAGAGAGAGAGAGACAGAGACAGAGAGAAGGAGAGAGAGAGAGAGAGACAGAGAGAGAGAGACAGAGACAGAGAGAAGGAGAGAGAGAGACAGAGAGAGAGACAGAGAGAGACAGAGAGAGAGAGAGACAGAGACAGAGAGAGCGACAGACACCCCCCCCCCCCCCCCCCCGGGCGGCCCCCCGGGAGAGAAGAGAGATTGAGAGGTGGATTGACTGACAATTCTAAGACCTGGAACCTCTCCTGCAGCAGGTGGAGGCCTGAGGACCATGCTGTCACTCAGGAGGAGGAAGGTGTTCAGGCTTTGGTTTTTCTCTGATAAGGAGCTGTCACGTCTCTACTAGCTGGTGGCTTTTGGTTTCTCTGATCTTGTAAGTTCTGTGTCTTGTCAGAGTTAGTGATGGTTGCTGAGCTGACTCAGTTATCTGCCAGAAGATTCCAAATCAACCTCTAAGCCTGGCTCCCCTTGGGTTGTCTATAGAGAGCCTCCTTTGGAGACCTTCCCAAATTCCCTTTGAGAGGAAGGGGACAGAGCATCCAACAGCAGAGAGGAAGACGTGGGTGAAAGCTGATGGCTACAGCCAGAAATGGGCAATGCCCACACCTCAGTGCTCCGTCTATAGTGGAGCATGGAATGTGTCACTTGCTCATCTCTAGATGTCACTGGAACTAACCCTTCCTATCCCAGCATGGGGTGACCGAGGGGGTGGGGCTGCCGGGGTGTCTCTTGCTGCACAACTGTGTGAGACGCCAGGCACCAATCATGCATTCTGGAAGAAAGTAGACTGGGCAGAGATCAGAGGAGCAGAAACCCGGTCACTGATCTCTTGCTTTAAAAAGAAACTATAGCTAGGCAGTGGTGGCGCTCGCCTTTAATCCCAGCACTTGGGAGGCAGAGGCAGGCGGATTTCTGAGTTTGAGGCCAGTCTGGCCTACAGAGTGAGTTCTAGGACAGCTAGGGCTACATAGAGAAACCCTGTCTCGAAAAACCAAAACAAACAAACAAATAAACAAACAAACAAACTATAATTCCAATTGAACTGAAATACTTAGTCCAACAAAGGAAAGCCCAGAGAAGGTCCTTCAGGTCCCTGGCAACTGCTGGTGGGCTCAAGGAAGCCAATTTGCAAAGATGCTACTGTCTACTGGTGCAAACTGAAGGCCTCCTTAAACTGGGTAAAGGTAACAATATGAACCCAGAACCTGTAAGGTCAAGGCCAGGTCCCCTCCCACTCAATGTGACCACCTCTTGCCACAGCCAAAACTCACAGAGAAAGACTAATCCCCAGAAGGCCCATCCAGAAAAGAAGAGACTCCAATTACCTGTCCCGTTTCCATCCAATCCTCGCAAATAAGGGAAGCTGTCTACTTCTGATGGGGAGCTGGCTGCAGTGAGGAACGCTGTCAGGTCGCTGTAACTGGTATTCTCTGGCAACCTCAAGGCCCTTCTCTGGAAATGAACTCGAGGCTGTGGCCGGGCACCTGTAGGAATCAACCTCTGAGTTACCTCCCGGAGGAATCGTTTCCATTTCAGAAAATGCCAAGCCATGAAAGGCTCTGACATTCCTCCCCCACATCTATGCCTTCCCACATGGCGAGCCATCCCTCATTCATCCAGGACGCAGGGATGTGACAGCATGCTATTATGGGGCGAGAAATAATAGCCCATTGTCACATGTGTTTTGACACAGGATGTTATTTAGATTTTGAACAAAAAGCTTTTCCCAAGTTCTATTTGCGAACAGTCTTTTCTACTGTGCGGCATTTGGCTCTGGATAGGGCAACGTTTTGGAAGAGTCTGAGCAAACGAAGCAAGGAAACAGCAATTAATCTTGTTAGACAAGCAATGCAAGATAGAAGCTTCGATACGGCTATAAACCCATCCTCCAACTTCCTGGAAACATCTTGTTCAATGGCACAGACCAAACGGAAGCTGGACAAGGGGCTGTGATATGCAGTCCTGGAAGACATGCAGACAGGAGCTCCCCCCCCCCAGGACAGCTTTCTTCTTGTTGAAGCTGCTGTGTGACACTGGCTTTGGTTCTCTGAAATATTTCCCACCGGAGACAGATGATGTTGTAGATTTAGCAATGATGCAAAGTGGTACCCTTTCCCCAGCTCCATCCCTTTGCGTGAACACTGGAGAGGCCCAGTCAGCTGCCTTGTGATGTTACATAACACGTTACCATTCTTCAGGTGTTCCTAGGATCCCAAAGACTGAACCTACTTTTACCTAATGGGTGGGAACAGTTACCAGACATCAAAGTGAGGAGTAATTTTGCACAAACCTGGCAAAGATGTCCTTAAAATTAAAATTATGTATCTGCATCTTGAGTTGACTTTGTTATACTATGCTGAGCAAAGGGCTCCTTCCACCTCTCGCTGCAGTATATAGAGGTCCTAGAATACCAGCCCCATGCAGAAATGAGGTCTTTAAACAAATACCAGGGTTCCCTTTGACTCTGGATCAGAGCGCTTCCAGGGAGGAGAGTGTGAAAACTTCCTAGAAATGTTCTGTGCTACGGGAGTTTTAGAGCTCAAAGGATTGACAAAACCAAGAATGTCTTCCTATGGTAAGACCACGGTGGCCAAAGGGCTTACGGCTATTATCTGGGGTCAGCTTTCTGAGCCACATTTGGCTGTATATGGTTGATATGGTAGATCATCGCCTTGTTCCTTCTATCTGCTCAAAGCCACCAATCAACCCTCCCCAAAGGCCGATAAAGCAGGTTCAGTCCCAAAGCCCAGGGAGCCAGGACCCAACGTCACAGCTTCCTCACCATGGTCCCCTCTTACACACATCTCTCAGTCTAATGCCAGGTTACCATACCCATGCCTGTCTTCATGTCTAAAACAAAGTGCCAGCCTCCACAGATCCCCTAACATTGTTATCGCTTACTTCTTCTGAACTTGGCTGTCTCTCTTGCTCACACTGAATCCAAATCCCTCAAGGTCCCTTCTGGGGCCATGAGCCTCACCGGGAGCTGTCTGCGCTCACCCCTTTACTCACTTCGCTGCACAGGCTGCCTGCCTCTTTTGTTCTCCATTTCCATGGAGCTCTCTGAGGTGAAAGGTCGAGTCTCCCTTTTTATCTCCTCATCTTGACTATGCAGGATAATTTTTTCCAGTAATGGCCAATGCAGCTGCCGATGTTCAGAGAATGTGTCGCCATGAAGGTGCCCAGGTCTCACAATCAAGAAGAACAAAGAACCCAGCTAATGTGAGAGAAAGTATGGCATAGCTATACATGACAGGGCCAAGATGGGGCCGGACTGCATGTGGGTAAAAGGAGAAGATGGAATCAAGGCTGGGTATCCAAGCAGAGTGGGATATATGTATCCCTTCCGGTCTCTGTGCAACTCTGGAGAGATGAGAAGGTTGAGACTTGTCTGCAGTCTCCTCTGACAGAGAGGAATGAGGAGTGACTCAGTCAGGAAGATGAAGGCTGCTAAAAGGCAGGAAGAGATTCACACGACCCAGGAAATATATGTCCAACAAGGACTTAGGGATCTGCCCAGAACCTGGAGAACCATAACCCAAAGCTCAGGGACTTTGTACCGCATTACAATTCGCTCTCTCATCTATTCCCAGCTCTGAGACGGACATGTGCACTACAAGCCCTTGGATGGAAGAGTCATCCCTCCTGCATCTCTTTCTCTGCTCCATCATGCTGCCTCTCTTCCCTTCCTTCCTTTGTGTGGGAGAACCTGGGAACTCACCAGACATCCAGGGCCATCTGTGGTAGACGGAAAGTGGGAACACAGGATTCTGTTGGGTCAGGCTTGGAAGATCAAGAAGGCCCAGCTGAACTGACACCTGTTGTGACTGGCATGACACAGATACCATCTACTGAGGGACCCACACACCCTCAAGGACAAGGACAGGCAAAACCTATGATTGGTGACATGGTGCACAAGGTATCTGTGGAATTTAAGGGTATATATAGGCCACGCTAGGCTACGGTTTAAACAAGGTCTAAATGGGCATGTGTGGGCCTGGGGTAAGATGCTGTGCTCTTCAGCCTGTCTTTCTTTAGAGATGCTTCATGTGATTGTCTGGGATTAGGAATAGAGTGGACCAGCCTGCCTGTCATCAGTGGATGCTTCTCAATTCATCAGCAGCTGCTTGGAACTTCCTGTCCTTGCAGACTTAAGGCCCCATCTTCCTTTTCCAAATGCTTACGTCCCAATATACTGAAAATAGCAGACACCTATTTTTTCCTTCTGCACTACTAAATCTATTTTCCCTCTCTTCTGTTCTTTTCATCCAAGGTCAAACCAAGCCCCTATCCTAAGTTCTGCTTTCTTGCGTATGCCGTGATGAACCTTTACCAACTGTTCCTGCCTTTGTCAACAATCTCATTGTCTGTTGGTGTTTTCCCCTCCAGCAGTAAACACAGTCATGTCTTCCCCACCTAGAAAAAAGTCACAAACAAACATGACTTTCACTCTGTTCTCCCCATACGTGAATGCCTGTCTTCTTCCATTCAGCCTTCAGTGACATGGCAGTCACCCACAGCACATGATGCTAAGGTCCACCGTATAACCTGCAACCCCATGACCACCTCCTCTCAGCCTTCACCCCCTGACCTCTTCACAATGGGCCACAGTGTTCGCCAGCCTCACCCACTCTCTTTCTTGGCATTCATCCTTGGTCTCTGGTTCTCACCAGACTCTGCTTCTCAGGCGAAGTCCTTCTCTCTTCTGCCTCTAGATGAGACAGGCCCCCAAAGGCTGCTATCCATCATCTCTGCAGTCTCTCCCCAGTCCTCTTTACATCCACAGTCCTTTCCAGTCTGGGCATCTTGCCTGAGTCCCACACTGGGATTTCCCTGTCTTCTAGGTAGCTTTACCCAGACACCTTCTAAGACCAGCATGTACTCTCTCTCCTCTAATGTGCCCATATTCTCTCTAGCGCCCAGGTTTGATCCAGACCAACACCACTTTCACTTTCTAACACCTCACAGAGTCACTCAAGTACCATAACTGGCTATCGCTCCTCTGTTAACATTTCCTTCCTTCCATCGCCCCACGGAGCCTCCGAACCACCTTTTGCCTCAACAGCCTCCCAGCCAGCCCTCTGTTTCAATCTTAACCTCCCTTTCCATTTAGCCACGGACACACTGACGGCTCAGAGATGCCATTCTGACCATGTGCTTCCCTGGCTCAGGAGACATCAGTCTCCACCACTTAGCAAACACATGACGACAAACAACATTAAAATTAAGTAGATTAAGTATGACTCAAACAACTACTCATATCTTATAACTGAGAGAGGCAAATCAATGCTTCAGAACTTATAAACAACAAACAAGTTGAGCAGAAGGAATCCCATCCTGTCCTTCTGGGTGAAGAAATTAAAACCCAGAGAGGTTAAGTAACTTGGTCAACATCAGTGTGCTTGGAAAATATAGAAAACTTGTTACATTCGGCATCCCTTCCTATCACAACATGCCCACCTTAAAATAGATGCTCTATTTATGACTAACCCGCCTCCACCCATGCGCCTGACTGTTTCTGTGGTCTATGTATGTGAGCCAAAAAGAAGGCTTGCCATGGGGATGGTGCCTACATTCTGTATGTGGTCATGCTTGTTCCATGTCCAAAACTACCTCTCATCTCTGTTTGTAGCATTTAAATGAATCTCAAAGTCTACCTCTTCTGCGTGACCTCTCTCAAGCCCATCTAAAATTCTAAGGTCTGTCTGTGCACTTCTTAGGGTCTTCAATCTCACGGTGTCTTGTAGTACATGTTATGTGAATGCTGTACTTCTTAATCTGAGGCACAATGAGAGAAAGACCGCTCACTGTACGTCTGCTACTCAGTAATACCTATGGATCTGAACGTGGTGAGTCATGTCTGGTGACTTGCTATGTTAGGACCTAGATTAGGACCGCTAACACTCTGGGGCCAGGAATTCTTTGCTTGGTGGTTGCCCTGTGGATATTAACACATTGACAGGCAGTCCTGATTTCTACCCATCAAATACCAGTACCAGTCACCAAGATGTGACAATCCCAATGGCCCCAGACACTGCTAAGTGTCCCAGGGTATGTGAAATTACCACAGTAGAGAACACGTTGTTTTATATCCTATGAATCTTCACAACTTAAGCAACTCATATGAAGAGTCTTACGTGGGGTCTTATAGTGGACCCACACTATATAAACAGGAAAAAGACAAAACCTTTATATTCCTGAAACTCAATAGGAAGGGGAGCAGAGAGCGAAATGGCTTGATTGTCAGATGTCATACATTCTAGAATAAGAGGGAGATGACAGAAATACAAGATCAACTTTAATAGCACATGAGTGACTGCCCTGGAAGTTCCCTAGGTGGCCCCTGTCTGGAAGGCTGTGAAGTGGCAGAAGAGACCAGACAGCAGATAGGAAAACGCAGAGATTCAAGATAGCCAATCACACATGGCAAGACTGAGGAGGTGTATGTGAGCCAAAGAGGAGGCTTGCCATGGGCGTGGTGCCT